GATATATTTTTTTGCTCTTACTGGCTCTGCTTGGCTTGAGTATTTGTTTTCTTTTTGTTTCTTGGTGTTACTCGGTTTGTGCTGTGTGACTTGCATTTTTTGTTCAGAGCGCAGAGTGCTGCCTAAAATTTACACACGTACATTGTCTGATTTCTGACAAGAAAACCAGCGTTCGTCGAGACCTTAGGCATTTCTTTATTTTTCTACATTTTTTAGATCTAAAAGCTTAATATTGAGCAGTTGAAATGTAACGCAATGAATAACGGATTTTTCATTTAATCCGTAAAATCGGAGAACCCCGGAAGTAGAACGTCGGAACTATAAATATGACAAGTGAAGAAAGTCTTAATTTCAAAGAAAGAAATCACTTCCCGTCTGTCTATGAATTTAACCCGGGTCTTAATAAGGTTATCTTTGTCAAAAAGTGTTAATTATAAGAATCTAAACTTCCCTCCCGCGCGATACATGCCAATAGAGGCAAAGATTGATTTTGAGCCGATATGCATCTCAAATTCTCTCGGCAAAAAGAAAAAGGCTCCACTAACATAATGACAACCAAGATCTATATATAAACATACAGTGGATAGAATTTTTTCCTGGTCATATTGGAACAACCCTGTGTTGTTTTTTGGTTAATTTTGTATTAGGTGTAGTTATTTAACATTAACACACAAAACACAAAACACAAAAAAAGTGATCGAGCGCAGGCTGACTGACTAAACAGCTCACCAAACAGTCGATACCTCATTCACAGTTCACACAATGAGTTTTTGATGTCTCTTATTATTATTATTTTTTTCCTATATATAATAGAGAGGAATAATTGTTTATTGTAGACATTCATCACTCATTTGCCAATCAAGTACATTTAACTAACTACACAGCAACTTGTTCTGTTCAGGATGACGGTATAAAACGCATAGCAAAAAATAACACCGTGCTCTCGAATGCGGCTTTTAAGTCAACAGATACCTCTCGCGAAAAAAATCAGTGATAAATGAAAAAGTGAAATAATTTAGCCATTGAACTCGAACTGATTAACCACTTTTAAGACGATTGAAAAATATCGGTATGACCTCTGAAAACTGTATCGAAACACCTTAAACAGATCATATTTGTATACATGGCCATATTTTCCAATACGCACTCGATCGTTACACCATGTTAAACTATTTGGAAATGAATTCTCAATATTCATCTTCCTTTTGATTGGATTACACTATATTTTACTGTTTTCTAAACCAAATTTTTTTTTATTTCTATACCTTATCCTCGAGAAAGAGGAAGCCAGCCTTTTTCCTAATTGGGTCAACTTGGAGCGAGTTTTTCTGTTCAGACCTGGAACGCTCCGCGAAAGACAGAGACCTAACGCGCGAGTAGCAAGGGTCACTTTGCTTGCCTCCCGAGGGCGACACCCTCTCTCGCTTCTCGCATGTTAGAATATAAATGCCTCTGCAAAAAAAAAAACAGAGTCTTCATGACCGCTTCGATTAGCCAGACCGGAATTTTTTACACCTAAAAACAAACAATCGCCAGGAAGAAAATGCCGTGACTGTGTCTTTTTGTCTGTGTCTGTCTCTCTTATTTGGCGTGCCTTGTGTGCGTCGTGCGTTCACAAACACATTTTCATTCGCGAATTAGTAGTTTTTTAAGGCATTTCCTGATGATGCCACAGATGGGAGAAAGTTATAATTAAGGCCTCACTTGACCTAGTTTTTAAGGATGCTACTAAACAAAAAAAAAACATAAATGCAAGCAAGCTGGTATAAAAAATTGGAACCTGAAGTTTGCAAAATTTCAAAATGCGGTCTTCTGTTATCCATGATGCATGGTTTGGGAGATGAAAAGGATTTTTACATATAAAACATTTTCGAAACATTTGTTGTTGTTTTTGAAAAGTATTTTCACATTTCTTGATCCCAGATGAAGCCTTTGTTTTAACATATCATCGAACCTTAAGTCTAATAATTTATGAAAGTTCCTAAATATACGAGTATTTTACGAGAGTCTTTCTCTGCGATCAGCAGTGTATTAAATATTAATGATCCAGCCAACACCGGCTGAGATGTTTTCACTGAGAAGTTAAATTTTAGAAAGATGGTAAGTCATTACTTAATGTTGTTCAGAAATTTTGTCAAATAAGGCCATACGCCAGACAGATCTCTTCTCGAGGCCTTTATTGAACATCAATAACATACGTATAATGAAGCGTTGTTTTTTAGTATTTATACTTTACAACAGACACTAATTTTTTTTATCCAAATGTTTATCGAAATCGCTTCTTATTCATACGTATAACTTGGAAACAATAGTCATAAACCCCCGTAGTTAAGGTTCGGATAAGGTATCATAAGGACCATAAGCGGGGAGAAATTCCTTTTGGACCTTTTAACTTAATTCACATATATCATTTTGACTTGAGAAAGGCTTGCTCCTTGTTGATAACATCAGAGTACTTTCTACTATTTGCGCGCCGTGCGTAACAAAGAACGTGCAACTG